ACACACACACACACACACACACACACACACACACACACACACACACACACACACACACACACACACAGCATTCATTTCTCAGCAGTGTACGGTCCATTAATCAGTTTAACATGCCATTGTTCTGTCGTTCTGCCTTGTCCTCTGGCTCTGGTCCAGACACATGGGCACTGAATTCTTCACTGTTCATTTAACACTGCAGTCAGTTTATTTAGGGCGACATCATCAAAGCTAATTAAAGGGTGTACGTTTCCCAAGACACATGGGACAATCAACGTAGGTCGTCAACATTTTTAATACTCTGATACTTTTCAATACCAAGTTTTTTAAAACCATAGAATCTCTGTTATCTAAGCTATCAATAGTATCAAAAAGTACCAATGACATACTAGAATTCACAGGTAATTGCAACGTTTCTCAAGTCCTTTTTCGTCTTGAAAGATGCAAGAGTTGTTTTTTTTCTTAGAAACGGGACAAAGAACAGAAAAGGTGACAGGAGAAGACACTGTCTAAAATTTACATTGGCCACTTTTTGGCACCAAAACATTGCCTATATAGACAACGTGTGCTTTTTTCCAAATTTTGTTAATTAAAAACAAGAAATTGACTTCAGATCAAGGATCAACTGTGTATTCAAACAGTTGATCCTTGATCTACCAAAACTGGTCCAACTAACATGCTGAGTCAGGTCCTTTTTCACATCAGACATCTTGAATTGTCATAATTATAATAAATAACTTTACAGTAAGTCAGGGACATGATATATCAATCCTTAAAATTGACATTAGCAATTGGAATAAATTCAAAATGTTTGTGGAGAACAGGGTTGATCGCTCTACTTGTACATGCTAATACAGTGGTGGTGTGTTCAATTGGAGTCGACTTGGACTGTAAATAAATGTTACTTAGACGTTTCATGACATTTCATGATGAAGATCGTTGGATTTGTGAATCTGCGATGCTGCTTGTGAAGGCATTACAGCTCAGTTCAATTAACAACCCATGCTGATGTGCCCCTTTTCAGAATACATACGTATGAATTCAATTGAATTAAGTTGTAGAGACTTAAGTCTCACAGCCTTGATAGTGTTTTAAGTTGTACACTATATGATTTTTGTTCAGACTTGGAATTAAAGGATTCATTTTGCCACTTCCTGTAAGTGTGAACATCAGCCACATGCCTAACATGCCTCATATTTCTACTGGTTGTGTAAAATTGTCATGTTGAAGGTGCAGAATGTGGCGTCTGAAGGTTTGCGAGCTGCTGTGTAATCTTGGAGAAGCCCGTCAGGATTGCATTAAGGGGGGGATTAGGCTCTTGGCTTTGTTTTGGGCCTGTGCTTGTTTGGAGTAGCTGTGAGTAGAGCCAGAGGGAGCACAACGCTCTCTATTCGCTTTCTCTCTCTCGCTTTCTCGCTCTCTCTCTCTCTCTCTCTCTCTTTCTCTCTCTCTCTCTCTCTCTGGGTGTTTTAATAAGGCTGGTTTTAAGCCATGTTGTTCCAGCAACTCTAACTGGTGGTGTGGGAGACGAGCTGGTCTCAGGTTCCCAGGAGAGATGAGGGAGAAGACAGTGAGAGGATGACAGAGAGAAAACGAGAGAGAAAAATGAAAAGCTTTTTCTTATCACTAGAAGATTAAAGTACTTCAGCTGCACATCTTTGATAAGATGAAATAATGCAAGTGATGATGCTTTACAGTATGCAACATCACAAAGTTTTAAATGTATGTGAAGCAAATCCCACTTTAACGCCAAAAACATATTAATGCTTTAGCCTATATTGCTAGTGATGAAAATGTTGTTCAATTAATTGGCATGTTAAAAGCACACATCACTGTACTCCTTTCCTTTGCACTTCCACTTCATTCTTCAACAGCTGTGGTTGCCGCTTTTAGCAAAGCGACCCACTAGCAGGAGACGCAGGTTATTGACTCTGTATGTTTTAATACAATGTCACAGCCGATGATGTAACGCTTGTTCCGATCAAGTGGCTCTGATCCTCAGCAGAACACTATTAGCTGAGTGGAAATAGTTGGCTGGCTTCACACAGCTGAGCCGACATACTGATGATGCCTGAATACTGTCACTTGTCTGCAGAGTCATGCAGCTCATTGAATGCAGATATAAAACATCTCCTAAGATTCAGTATCTGTAGGGGAACAAAACGCCCTTCTTCCAAAAAAATCGCTCTATAGCTCTATACTGCCAGCTGTCACAGGACATTTAGCCTTTTTTTCTGACATTTTTCTCCTCTTTCTGGCAATTGAAAGCACATAAGAGGAGACAAATATGGAGAGAAACGTAAAGAAGAGAGGGGGATAATGAAGCAACAAGTATTTAGAGTCTGATAAATGAAGAGAATCTCAGAGAAGGAAAGATGACAAATTAGAAATGTCACATCAAAACTGTGGTCACCACAGTGTGGCCTCGAATGTACAGTCGTCTTTTCAATGAACCCAGATTAGCCCCATTAATCCCCTGCTGCCCCTCGGCATGTGTGTTACAGAACATTGTGCCCATACAAAGATATCATTCACATGCACTGACACACATACATGTGCACACACACTCATTCTGAGCCAACAAGTGCAGAGGAAGTCACAGCCCGGGGCGATGGCTTTATGAAGAAGGGAACGAGCAGCGAGTGAAATCAGAGCCATTTGCTAATGAAGCTTGATGAACAGCTTATTCTGCTCTTCCTCATACTCTGCTTCCCTCACATGCTCGCTCACTTTCTCCTTGTTTCACTGCTTTCCTTTTTCCCTCCGTCGCTGAATACATTTGGGCTAATTGTGTGCTGCTCCTGATTGAAGCTCTCACAGGCGTCTGAGCGCTGCGGCTGCTGATCAGAGAAAGAACAGTGGAGCGTTTCATTGCTGCTCCTCTGCTTAATATGCACTGAAAGAAGAAGTAAATCCTGATAGAAGGAAAAACTCTCTTTCAGCAGTAGGGTATCTTTTTCTTTAAGAAAATACAGAAAGTAAGAAGACACTGCACTTTACATTTGCAACCTCTGTTCTCACTGTCATCATCCTTTACTCAATCCGGAAACAGATTTAATCGGTGAAATTAACAAGGGGTTTACCTGTTAGCTTTTATAATGAAACAGTTTTGTTAAAAGAGCATAATGATGGCGTTCAGCTTAGTTTGAGGCTTCGCCTTGAGGACATGTTTGAGAAATTGCATTGTGTGTAATGACACTGTTGACGCACCTCTAAATAAAAGTAGGCAAATACAAAATTGTTCTGTACATCACACAACATTGTTATGTTAGAGTATGGAAAATGGGGCGCTGATAGCCTAGTGGTTGGTGTGTGTACCCCGTGTATGGAGGCTATAGTCCTCCATGCTAGCGACCCAGGGTTTAAATCCAACCTGTGGCTCCACATCTTTCCCCAATCTCTCTCTCCCCAATTTCTGTCGTTATCCACTGTCCTATTTCTGAAATAAAGGCATAAAAAGCCCCAAAATTAACCTCAAATAAATTATGATAAAACTGCTTTAGCAGCGATATAGCATAGAGAAAGAAGTAAAGACCAGGACTTCATGTTACATGATGCTGCCTTAATAACACTTTACTGTTAAACACCTCTGCTCTTACACTTACACAGCTTTATGTATAATGAACTTTCGTCTCAGGTGCATGTAATTTACTTAAAGCTCCTGTGAGGAGATTTTTTTTACTGTTAATGAAACAAACTAAAATGTATTCTGATGCCACTTTATAACCTACTACAGCAAACAAGCCCGTCAGGAAGACCACTCAGGGTTATTTTGAGTGCCTGAATCTGCTGCCACAGGGTAGGAAAATAACATTTTTGTGGGATGCACTGATGCATCAGTTGAACATCGGTATTTGCAGATTTTTGTCCTGTTGACAAGCATCGACCCATCAAAAATAAAAGTTGCATGCACCAGTTTCATTAGCTAATCTTTATCTGTTTTGTCACATTAGTTTAATGTTTATCTAGTAGACCTAACTGATGATTCAGAAAATATGTTTTTTTTATTGGGCAGACTACATAATCTACATGAGCAACGACAGCAAAAATACTTTTAAAAGCCACTTTTTCTCGACACAAGTTTAGGTAGGACTAAAGTGAATGTACGTCACATTTTTAATCTCTGTGAGCAGGGTTCAGACTTAAACATTTGGCCGGCTGCTGTTAAAATATGGCTTCCCCCCCCTCCCCCCCTCCAATTTATTTATCATTTATCAAAGAAAGAATTTGTACAGCAATGTCGTGCATAATTTTTTCATCAACAAAACATTTTTTTCACAAAGCAGCAGGAAAATCTGTCAATATTCTGATGGGTTTATTCTCATGCAGCATCATTCGGAGAATTCCTCAAAAATTCCTCTGAGACTGCAGGTCTAAGAAAATGTTTGCATCCAGATATACATACATTTCCTGCAAGTTGTTATTGATACTCTCACAAAATAAACCTTCGTTTCCACAGCTTAAGGTTACTTATTTGTCATATGTTGTTTGACTTGGATTCCCTCTGTGTCTGTTTTGAAGTGGACTTATCTGAGCAGCTAGGCGGGCAGATGGATGATAGCATACTTGTTTTTTTTTTCTACCATTCCGCTCCCTAATCTTTGTCCTGCACACATGAACACACCCAAGTAGTCAAAACAATGATGTTCAAATATGTATACACACTTTACTGAAAATAAATCTACACACAATAAACCTCCTTTATGCATCAAATTGTTCTTATTTTTCCTTCCATATACATTTCGGAATTAAGCTTGTCTCCCTCAGCCCCCCCTCCCCTCTGAGTCTCAATCAATTAAGTCCTTAACTGAGGGGAAAATATCTTCACCAGAACAGTTTGAATCAAGGAAGGATGCCACTCCCATGGAGAAATATGCAAACATTTACTGTTTGTTTGCCTCAGTGTGAAGGAGATAAAAAAAAATGGACAACACGTGGTCAAGTGAGGTCTCTGATTGTGAACATTTGAATTCACTTCACATTTTCTCTTCTCCTCTCCTCAGGGCTCTGGTGTTTATCGTCCATGGAGCCGGGGAGCATTGTGGGCCGTATGATGAGATTGCACAGAGATTAAAGGAAATGTCTCTGCTGGTATTTGCACACGACCATGGTGAGTTTCAAAGATACACGTTACACACCATTAATGAATCCAAATGTTCACACCTTTAATTTATTTATTTACATATGAGGTGCCCTCCTGTTAGTTAGTACATAAAACAGCTTGTGCACACTTGTTCACACTCCAAAGCTCGGCCAGTGGCCCAAAGCTTCAACATAGAACGCTCTATGTTCACCTCAGGATGCACTTCTGGAAGTCGTCCTCTAGTTTATTGTTTAAAGGTGGTGTTCAAATAACGTGACACAATATGTTGGGCTTAAAAAGGTCAGCTTAAGCTGGCTGTAAGGGGCAATGGATGGGACCAAAAAACAGGAATGAATACCATTAATATAGTACCTTATTATCTCCATGAAATGTACTGAAACATGTGTATTTGACGCAAAATAAGATGTATTATTTTTGCTAAAATATCATCTACCCAGGTCAGTCAAAAAGTAACTCAAAGAAAGGTCAAGGTTTCTTTACTAGTACCTTAAAAGGTAAAAACAAGAGATTCAGCATTCCAAAGATACATACAACACATACCAGTCCTTACACAGACTCCCAATCAAAAGTTCAAAATATCCGGGCACGTTTAAAGTGCAGCTTTGTTAAGTAGTGCTATAGCCGCAGGTACACAAGTGTTTCTGTTGCGTTTTGTTCTCCCCTTAGGAGCAAAAAACCAACAGCCAGAGCGGAGAAGCAGAATCACCCAAATTAGGGATAAGAACAATCATGGAGAATATAGAGCTCGCCTTACGCTGCAGTTGTACAGAATAATGTGGTTAATAGACGCTTGAGTGGAAACCAGATCAACATGTTTTTTTTAACTCAGAACTACAGACCAAGCTGCCATATAAGTTGGGACTGAGAATGTGTCGTTTTGCATAGTGTCAAAGAAAGCCCATCATCCTCCTCTCTGTCTAATAACAAGCCTTGATAATTGCTGAGTGAGCGAAGTCTCTTAAGGGAAGTTAATTAGTCTTAGTACAATTCTCTATTGTGCTGCAGCTGTTTTTCAGTGTGTGTAAGCGTGTAGGCAGCAAGCTTTAAACACATTGTTCGGAAGAACTTCACAGTGTCGGTTTACTAAGTGATTAAAACTTCAGGTTTCACTGAAACTCTGTCATTCTGAACACTCAGTACTGGGGGAACAAGATGGACCAGTCATCAAAACTTCAAAGCAGATGGCCTAGCACTTAGGTCATGTCCCATGTAAGTTTAACATGTTCAAGTCCGACCTGTCTACAATGGGTGTAACACCCGAGTCCCACTGTCTGTGATGCTTTCAGAGTTTTCAAAGTCCTATCTTCAGTTTGTTTACATCGCCCGGACAGCCGGCTGACTCATCCCCTCGTGTATAAAAGTTGTTTAATTGAAGGACTAGAGAAAAGAAGAATAACATACTCTACTCACTGCTTAATTGAATGTCACCTAAGCGTTTCTTGATCACGGTCATTCCGTGTAAATTTACATGCAAGATACACAAGAGCTAACTAAAGATCGCTAGCATTAGCATGCTAACACAACAAGGCAGCACGAGTTGTTTTGGTTTCATGCTGGTGCTCAAGTGTGACATCTGTGGATCAAAAAATCGCATATTCTTCCTTTAACATACAAGTGTATAAAAGCTCTCCTTAGGCAAGTTGGATGGAGATCAACTTTCCTTGGGGGGACAATGGGGGGGGGATTGTAACTGCCAAAAATATAACAGGGATTTATTGAGTTTGGTGAATGGAAAATAACGGAATATGATTATCATGTTAACAATAGATGGTTAGTATTTTTCTGGTAGCTGTAAGGACCTTAGTTTGTTTTTGTTTTTGTGTATTTATATTGTCCGAGTTTTATTGGTCTTTATATCGTCCGAGTTTTATGGTATCATATGGAAGTTTGAAATTCTTGTATCGTGACATCCCTAAACAACATGTGATATTCTACCAAGGAGCTCTTAGCCCAGGCTGTTCATCACCTCAGCTCAGTTCACACACTGAGCAGGTATTACAGCAGGAATGTGTGAACATGAGTGAGTGTGCCGCAAACTAAAAGAACTCAATGTATGTTCAGTAAAACCCGTCCAGAGACAAACAGGAGAGCAAGAGGAAGACGCCTCAGCTGTAAAGTGAGGAAATATTTACAGAGGTCCTTTTTCTCCGAGGGAGCAGAGATAATAAAAAGGCAGAGTGAGTGATGAGGATGACTGAGGCTCTTCACACAGGAGCAGTTTGTTCAGTGACAGGCAGGGAAATGTCACAATGAACTGGAACAAGTCCCTGGAGACACCAGTTTTACATCTATCTATCTCTGGGCAGCTTCTGATACAGCAGCAAGATCTGTCTCTTTTTTTTTCTCTCTCACACTGGTTCCTTCTCTTTAATGCATTGCTTTCTAATTAAAGCACGTAAAGGTCTTTTTTTAATCCCAGCCTGCACAGACTGGAGGTTTCTTCCATCTGGCACTCACTGCATCTTACCACAGAACATCCTTCAAATTTGTCACGTTGCCCGTTTGGCTAACTTATCCAAAGTTTGCGATAGAAAACAAACTGCCTGTTGTTTTACTAAAGCACCAGCTCTGACATTTTATTATCAGGCAGTGGAGAAATATATTGTGAAAGGCAGAGATAACAGAGCAGTAGGCAGGAACAGTCTGATGTTGTTTGTTTTCTCATTATGGGAAGCTAATGGAACTCTGACATTTAATTAGATCAGAGCTGGCAAAGTTGCTGAACTCATCAACCCATGAAGAGATTGTTTTTCTCCAGAGGTGACAGCATGAGCTATATTTCAGACAATAAAAATCTAGCAAAAAAGCACAAAGATCCCATTACATAGACCATAAAACAGCCATTACACAAAGACCAACCACAAGTCACAGCATGAGACGTACACATCCCCACTCTTAAAGTTCCAATATGTAAGATATCTACTGAATGAAATCATTAAATGACCTCACTATATGATCAAACATGAATGAAACATGCTATGTTGAAGTGCTGGTTTCTCTGACAGCAGCCAATCTGTCCTCATTCAAGTTTCAATTCCAGTCCGGAATGGTTTGTTTTTGTTTTGACCAAAGAAGTGGGCGGTTTTAAGGCCCCCACACACATGGCCGTTTTGGACACCCCTTGGTTTGCCAGGCAAAGTGCAAACCAACAGGTGTTGCAGGGATGCAGGCTAGCAAACTGGTTCAAATACAACTGATTCTACCCGACCTGAAAAGCCACTTCATGTTTCTAATAAGCTTGACGACCATGAAGGTGGTAAATATCAGAGAGGATTTTAGAAAATGGAGAGAGGTTAGAGGCAACATGACAACCATGCGAGCACATCGACTCTAGGGTGGAGGGGGTGGGGGGAGACAGCTCTCTACAATGTTTTGAATTTGGACTGGCCATACAGTATCTATTTAAACTAGGGCTGTATCCGAATTGCCAAGTACCTATTCAATCTGTCAGTAGACAGTACGTACTATCCATGCTGTATACTGTTTAGTACCTACTATTCAGTAGGCGCGCACAGTAGGCAGATATTTGTTCCTACTTCATCTGATTCATTCAGTAAGGAAGTGAAGTCATTTACGTTACCCGAACCGGCCGCATTCACCCGTTTTTTTTTTTATTTCAAGAAGAGTAATGCTCATATACAGTCAGGTAAAAAAAAACAATATCACAATGTAAATCAAGTAAAAGACAGATTAAATAACTAAATAACATACAGTACATAAAGGAAAGTACAAATGAAAGACAGTAATATACAGAATATAAAATAAAATAAATCAATAAAGACGCATTTAAATAGTGAAATCATTATTTAAATAGAGGGGGAAAGGTTTTATAATAATGTATACATTTGTTACATTTTTTGTTGTTAACTAAAAGTAGCGATTTCAGTCGGGACTTTAAATTAAGATTCAATTAGTCAATGCTCGTTTGTTTTGATTTGGAGGCGCACGTAAAGTGATGATTTACGTTTAATTTCGCACAGCATTGGGGGTGGTAAAATACAATTCATTTCCTGAAAGGATGCATCCGATCCATACTGCATAAAACCAGGAAGTTAGTATCCATACTGAAATGGTCAGTATACTGAGGTGGACCCAAAAAATGCATACTGAATGACCATGTTACAGTTACATGTTATGCGACATATCTACAGTATGATCGAAAGAGTAGGCAAGAACATACTCACAATCAGAGAAGAGTATGAAGCATTTTTATTACATCCATGATGATAGCAGTGCGGTTACTCAATGGCTGAATGGTATAAATATATCTACTGTATGTGCTGTGGCTAAATGGCTCCATTAGAATGGGTTATTTATTTGCTAGTTGAGGTAGTAAAGTTAGAAGATCAACAAGGAAAATATTCAACTGGCTCCTTTTTTAACTGAAGGCTTGTGTGTGAACTAGTGCTGTAAAGTCATACACACTTCTCACCAGATGACCTCAGCCCTCTACCAAAGTTACTTAGCGCAGTAAACGTGATCAGGCTGCTCTGTGGACATGGCATTCTCCCTGTTGAGAGTTATTGTGCTATTAAATCAGCCTTTGAAACTACTTTTTTCAGGTGGAAACGTTACATATTGTTGCTTTAATTTTCAGACAATGTACACCTCCATCTATGGATTTCAAAGGAGGAGTTGTATATCCTGACTAATGCATGAAGAAAACTTGTCTCCTCTTAAAGATACATCATAAATAAGTGATAGATGGGGGACCAACTTCTCTTTCATAGTGTTTTTGAAGATGTCACCATGAAATAACAAAAGTTCATTTTTTGATACTTTTATAATGATTTACTAATCAAAATTAATCCAGCATAATTACACCATTATTCCTAAGCATCATGGAAAATGTGTTTTTCCCCCAGTGATGCTGATCGTGTTGTGTTGTTAATACATTTTCTATATGTTTAAATGTATCTCCCCTTTGGAATGCACTGGAGATCGTCATGCTGCAGATAAATTAGTCAACAGGGATTTAAAAAACTATTGATTTTTCTCTTTGATTGGTCTGTTTGCTGCCAGTTTTCAAGTCGGAAATATGATTAACTCAAAAAAATACCATCATGGATGACCGCTTTGTGCCTGTTGCAGCTCTTTACCCTACAGCAATGGATGGATCTGTGATCTGCAGCGTTTGTGTGTCCGTTGTCTGAATGTCAACGTGTGTTCATGTGTGAATATCCGAGCGTTTGTGAGTTTGATGGAGTGCAATAACAATAGATGTGGACTCAGCCGAGTGTGAGCTCATTGATCTGACGTGGGAGGGGTTGTAGTGAGCATCGATCCAGAAGTTTGCGATGCTCCATCACTCACTGCTGCTGTTATTGGACATTGATTTGCACGTTTTTCTCATTGCTCCAGTAATGACGAAGAGAAAAAAAAACATAAAGAATAAAGACTCTTTTAAATACACAAACTGTAATTATTATCACACAGCATGACTCTAAAGATTACAGAGTGAAAGCGAGAAGGTGGGAGCTGCACATGTGAATGTTAATTGGTTCAATGGTCACCATGGCAACCCACCTCACCTCTCAGCCACTGCTGCAGAAGGCAGGAGGAGAATATACACATTATATGAATGCAAACACACATACATATTCATGTACTTTTCCTCCTCTCCATCTGTCAGTAACATTTCATTACTCTTCTTATTCTTTCCCTGTCTTCTTTTTTTCTGTTCCTAACTTTTCACTTTCTTCTTCCTATTCCTCCTCCTCTTCATCTTTATTGTCTTGTAAGAATATTCTCTTCTTTTTCATTACATTTTTCTTTCTTTCCTTATCTATTTCCACTCGTCTTTATCTATGGAAGCCAACACATAATTTCCTTGCTTCAGTTGAGTTATTGTTCCGGTCTGTCACCTCAAAGGCCGTTCTGATGCTTTTATATCACTTCCACAAAGGAGGGATCTCTTAGGAGACATAGGCATGGGCACATACCTGGACCGTCACACTCTTTAAATGATAAATCTGTCAGATATGGGATGCTGCAGCTGGTTGGATGGATCAGATATGGCATATGTGCTCACTGCTGTTTTGGACTGAAGTGAACAAACAACGGAGCTTATCTAAATCTTCCAGTGATTACAAAAGAAGTCAATCTGTAAGTGTTGTTGAGTTACAAAAATGTTGTCATTTGTGAAAAATATCATTCTCTTCACGCTCTACTATTTCCCCTTTGAAACTGCATGATGGACACTGACACAATCATGGAGGGTAAGAGAGTCTGTCACATTGTCTATCCCAATTTCCACCTGGTTACATGTAGGCGGGAAATCTCTGCTTTCAGGTGAACATATAATTAAAATTAGATTTAAAAAAAAGAGTGAAGGACCCGAGTTCCTCTCCCTCCTGTCCTCTTTCGTCTTTGTGATCCCCCCCCTTACGACATGTACAGACTGCAAGATGTTGGGGGTTGTCCAGACGAAAAATGATCAGTTGTGGCAATATCTGTGGTTGTTGCTGCAAAACGGAGGTCCTGCATCGCACTGTGAAAGAGAAGAGTGACCAAAGATAGCCTTCAACAAATATCTGACAGTGTTAGATATTAAGGACGATCATCTCACAATGTGAATGCTTCTATGATTCACGTCAACTAACCAATAGGGATGCAGCATCAAGTGAGGCACTAATCAGCGCGACCACAAAGGCGCCAGAGCTGTCGAAATCATATGCTAATGCTAACACGACTTAGCTCAAGCTCTCTTTGCAGCACTGTCATGCTAATGTGGCCTCTTTTCCCTCGCCACGATGTGTCCACATGTTTTAATCTCTACTCTTTATTCTTTTTTGTATTCACATGAACGCCACTATCAGCAAGAGCTAGCAATCTGTTGAGTGCCATGGCAACATCAGCCGCATAATGATGACGCTAAAGACGCTGTGTGTTAACTAGCCTAGCAGCATATGATACACTAGGTACCTCATCGCACAGTGTACATGCATGTGGTACCCAACATTATGAGACCTGCATCGCACAGTGTGGCTTTCAATAAATGTATAAGATTGTAAAAAATCGTCAGTAGAAGGCTTAACAACCCTCCCTGTCATCTGTACTTCACTTTCTCTCTGTTCCCACCCCATTCTTACTTCTTCATCCCACTCCAATGAACAACTTGTCCCCTCTTTATCCTCACTCTTGTCTCTCCATCCATCTGCCCCTTTGAGCTCCTTCTTGTTTTTCATCCACCTCTCCTCAGGATGAATCGATTTTTGTTTTTACAAGTCTGGAAGACAGCATCACTTTCCTCATAGCATATCTAGCTGAATAAAAAAATAAAGATATAACAGCGTGTGTGTGATACGCAGCCAAATAAAAATAACACGCTAAAAATATTTGTGAATCTAGCTGAAGTTCAACTGTGGGAAAGCTGTTCTGAGAAACCGTCGTGTCCTTATATACCTAGTGTGCAGAGTCAGACAGACGTCCAACATCTTATATTCCTTTATGAAAAACATTTTGGTAATCTTGTGATTCATTTCTTACTCTCAAAAAAGGCAAGTGTTGCCTTTTTCACAAAGGGGGAAGTAAGCCTTCCATATGTTGTCTTCTTTGCCTACTTTGATACAAAAATGTCATGCCTGTTTAAAGCTTATATTAGGAGTTTTTAAAACCGGCAGACATTTTTCCATACACTTTTTCTACAGCCTGAAACAACATACATAGTGACACAGTGATTACCTGTACACTTCTGAAACATTCTTTCTTTCAAATGTTACCACCCAAACATTCTTTAAGTGTGATACATTTGACTGTTAAAACAGCAGGATTATTATTTTTGTTCATTTAACTGAATATGAGCAAAGAGTTATGCTATCTCTCTGTCCACAAGGAGCCCAAAAACCTACACAAACCTAGAAAGTTCCTCACAGGAGTTTTGAATTGCAGGAATAGACTTGTCTTGGTTTCCTCTAATCTGTCACTTTTTTCTCCCCTCTTGTCCTCCACAGTTGGCCACGGTCAGAGTGAAGGCGAACGGATGAACGTCAAAGACTTCCAGGTTTTCATCCGAGACTCCCTGCAGCACGTGGACCTGATGAAAAGCCGCCACCCTGACCTACCCATCTTCATCGTGGGCCACTCCATGGTAGGACCAAGTCCATGATTTACTTTGCTTTGGTTTTGTTTTTGTTTTTTTAGATTGATTTTTGGGATTCTTGCCTTTATTTAGATAGGATAGTCAGTAGGAAAGTAGGTGAGGACATAGAATCGTAAATCGGGAGACAGAGTGGGGAATGAAATTTGGGAAAGGAGCAGCAGGCCGGAATTGAACCCAGGCCGAAAATTACCTCCGTACCTGGGGCAGGACCTAACTGCTAGGCAATCTGCACCCCTGCTTTACTTTTAATAGCAGATTTAATTTTTTGTGTCATATTCAGCACATCATTTTGAATATTATGTCTGGGGAAACTGAAACTCTCCAACCGTTTTTTCTGCACAACAGTTACATTCAGTTGAAACAAAGGCCCACACTCTTCTTTCAATGTGTAGTGGCTTCATGTCCAAAAATACAAAGCCGTGAAAAACCATGTTTGCATGTTGTTGTTCTGCTCAGAGCTGAGGGAGAATAAAGTACAGTATTATTACTGTAATCTAAGAAGAGTTTAGAGAAGGACTATGTAGAAAACCTGCTCACCTTTAACACAGTGACATAGATTGTGTACAGCGTGCAGCTGCTGGGAACTGAAAAACCCGACAGAGCCCTTTGAGGTTCAGTGACCTGCTCTGAGGTGATGTGGCTGTGCAGACAGAGAGGAGCACAACGATCACAGAAACCTATGTAAAGTTTAACTGATGTTCTGTGTCAGTGACTTTGTTTGTGTTTTTAATTCACCTTTATCCTCAAGTTCACTGGAAATTCAGACTTCCACAAATGTTTAACTATTTTAAACAGTGCAGTGCATGGTTTAATATTCTTATGTTATAAAGGTTAGGGGGACAGAAGGACAACATGGAGCATGGAACAAAAAGTGTCTTGTTCAGAAATGAACCAAGGCTTCTGCTGCACTGTCCAAAACTAGGTACTTCATGCAGGCTGCAGCACCCTTGGGAACTATTTAATTTGCTTTCTGTCTGAGCTTTACATCAGTAGAATAATGCCATTTTCTGAAAATAATTAAGCTCAGTTAGATGCTGCTGTCAAAAAAACAAAATATCTAACAGTTAGCTTATATTTTAGTAACAAATGTTTGGCACTATAGTCATTTTATTTTATTTTTTATGATTATCAGAATTATTTTAGTGTTTCTAATCAAATAAGAGCAACAGGGCCGTGACCTTTTTTAGGCTACAGTCCAATGCAACCCAGTAAGATGGCATTAAAAAAATATTTTAAGAGTCTCAAATGTGGCGTTATGAAATCTGCAGACATGCGGCTGAAATAGGATGTTCATTGAGAAAAAATTACATAAAGGCTGAACAGCCTCAAGGCCGGCCAGGGACCTATTTTTAACTGATCTGTTTATCCAGTTTTTTTCACAGAGCTACATTCAATATTCCTGCCTCTCACTGTTGTGCTCCGTGACCCACTAACTCTCCGTACAGCTACAGACAACAGTAGTGATTTGTTATATAATAAAACATCTCTGCCAGTGTTTTGTAGGTCAAATCAATGCTAAGTCCCGAGAACCTGTTTCTATTGGATGAACAAGCTGCCTGGATTTATGTATTTTTAGAGTGGACACCTGTTGTTTCATGTATGCAGCTTTACCTTCAGTGCAATAATCCTGCATTACATAAAGAAGAAGCTTACTTCTCTGTCACAAAACATACAGCTTTTTAGTCTTTGCGCTCACAGCTGGAAGTTAGAACTGAGTCTGTAAAGAAAGCTTGTAGATGTTCTGCGCCTTTAGCTTTGAACAACCTGCACTCTGATATTGTTATTAATATTAACCTAAAGTCTGCTGGAAGTCTCTTTTTTAAGCTGGAACAAAGAGTACATGCACATTCCTTGCAGAAATGTTCTGCAATAAGAAGCTTGTAGCCTTGTTGTCTTGCAGCAATATCTTGATAAGGAAAACTAAGCAGCAGAAGTTCTTTGATATGCTGTATCCTTTAAATAATGAGACTTTAACCATTTTATTTACCGAACCATCGATGGTTATGACCCCTGAGCATGTACAATATGTAGAATTTGATGACAATATTTACATTAAAATATCTAAATTAATTAAAAATTAACTAAACCTGATGTTATATGTATATTTTTTTATTAACTTACATTACCTCACACCATTACAGAGCAGCCATGACAGACAGAAAGTTTATCGTTGCCATGGAAACACCTGATGTTACGTCAAAGGCCGCTACACAAGGAAGCGATTCCCCGCCAGCCTCGACGTCATCTTTTGTTATTGTAGTATTGATTGAGAGCCTCCTGGCGCTGGAATCTACATACTGTATCTTAAACTGTAGGCATTGATAGAAATAAACATCAACAACTGCAGACACGATGCAACATTGAAGAGGAAAACAACATATTTAATTAATGATAGTTTCAGACCTCTTGACAAATAAAGTGAGAAATCCATAAGATTCTGTGAACCACTTTGTTTTCATTTACATCTGCAGGATTGATTGTTTCTTAGAATATGAGAGAACATCGATGCAGAAATTAATGATTTGTGAAAAGAGTCTGTGTGCCCTCCCAGAATCTATTTTCTTAATAATGAAGTAGTTTGTAGATTCAGAGGATGCAGAGATTTGTGTTTTACACTGCAGCTTCTCCTCGTAAATAAGGTCATGTTTAATCGTGGGCTATCAAATGAGCTTTGAGATGCTTTAAACAACAATCCATTAGATTCACCAGTCTCTTTTTGCAAAGCCATTTATGGCTTATGCTTCACAGTGAAACAGGACTGTGTTTATATAAAGACTGTGTTGCTGAGTCCAAAACAATCCGAGGTTGTTGGAGCACAGACGCAAATAGTGTTGTGTAAATTAAACTGGGAGATGGAGGCAGAGCGCCTGTTTAGACATCAGAGTGTGTAAATATTAAGACAGAGATGGGCCAAAGTCACAGTAGTACATCTTTCCTCTCTCACTTCTCCCCTTGCTCAGTCCTCAATGCTTCTTTTCTCTCTTTGTTTGTTCCTTCCTGGAGTTTCATCAGATGTTCTTTCTGACGGTCATGTTGTACCGTTATCTGCTCTCATTTCCTGTCTCCACAGCAGAGCTTATTTTTAATAGATCTCTGTCTGTTCATCCATCCGTCCTTCACATTCTTGTGAGCGTAAATCTCAGGGACGCCCGGAGGCGATATCTTAAATTTTAGCTCACTCTAAGTTCACTTAGAGTCCAGGATCAGCTGTTCACTGGTCAGTGATACCTCATGTCTGTTGCATATTTATGAACACAATATCTTCACAATTGGTAATTGGTAATTCTATCATTTTCAGCACAATATATACCAAGCAGGTACTTCTGGTCCTGCAAAACAAAGCCAGTGCAGAAGTGAAAAGAAGTTCCTTGAGTGTCCACTTGAGGTTGGCTTTGTGTGCATTTATTGTAGAGATTGGACAGTGGAAAGAGTTGGAAATTATTGCTCATTTTTTATTGGTAAAAACTGTATGGAGGGAAAATTGTTTTTATTACTCATCTGTAAGGCTAAGGTTATGCATTAATTTACATAATTATGGACATAGCTGAGTTGACTGATCGAGTTGTAGCTGTTGCCAGGTGGCTTAAGGTTTACCTCAGCTCTACCTCTTTGTTAGTAGATTGATCGAAGGTTGAGATAACATTTCCAATATAGCAACCACCAGCTTTTGGCTTCCAAACATCTCTTCAGAACAAATGGGTGACGTCCATGTTTTATCTTAAGACACTTAAAAAAAAGAGAAGGATTAGATTGTGGTTTTGGTTTTATTATTTACAGAGACCCACCATTTATCCACCACAAGTAAGCATTTGGAAGCACATTAACACATCATTATATCTTGTAAAAGCACTTTTCTGGCCATTATCCCCTACCAATTCTTATGATCATTATTTTCAGCACATTAGGAATCTTATTACTCTGTTTCTGTCATTTTATTATCTTTTATTTGCGATCCATAAGAGAGGACCTCTCATGCTCAAAGAAGTTGACAACCTCTCTTTTCTCTAACCCTTTGGTGGGTTACTGACAATCACATTCTCTGCAGGGAAAGATAGATGGACAGTTCCTATTATGTCCCTCCGGTAACTTACTGTATGTGGTGTAACCTTTCCTGTTTAACATAGGCCTTGTTATAGCTCTGTTTTCTTCCAGGGGAAAATACATTCTTTCACATATTTCCATTATACAAACATACTTTCCTTCCTGGCCACATTTCCATTGTCATTCTGTCGATGTTATGGACGTAAACCTTTACATGACCTTAACTTTTTTTTTTTTTTAAGATCTTTTTTTTTGGGCTTTTCGTGCCTTTAATGCAGAGAGAGGACAGTGGATAGATTCGAAAACCAGGGAGAGAGAGCGGGGAATGACATGCCGAAGGGGGCCACGGGTGGAAGCGAACCCGGGCCTAACCCTTGAGACAAGAGTCTCAACACATGGGACGCGCGCCCTACCACTGCGCCACCAACGCGCCCCAACATGACCTTAACTTGACTGGTAGGAAGAGGCTTGTAATCACAAGGGCGGTAATAAGACTCTTCTTTTAAGTTGTTTTTCCGTTAACTTAGTTTTGTAATTTCTCTTCCTCTGCCTTGCTTTATTGTTGTCCTTTTATTTTTTTCATAAAGGTATTCTTTACTTAGGATAAACTAAAGCAAAGATCTGGAGTTTGGGAAACCCAACCCAAATCCAATTTTGGGTCACTGTGTTTTTACAGGCGTCATTTCCCAACTTCCCACTGTTGTGACTTCTCATCCTGTTTCTTTTAGCCCGTTCCTCTTCCCCTCTGTTTGTGTGCGTCTCTGTTTAACTTGGCTTGGATGACACAACGGAAATCACCTGTGGATTCTACAGAAAGGAAGAAAAAATAGAAACCAGGATGAGATATAAAGGAAGGGTAGATTTGTTTATTTTATTTATATACTGTATAAATAATAAATAATAATATTATAAAATAATATAAAATATTTGTTTTTGTTTCTGCTGGCCAGGTATGTTGCATGGCTGATGTTGACTAGTCCGACTTTGGCCCAGAGTTTAATATCTAATCAAGTCATTGAAAATGACCAGTATCAAGCCATACATCTCAAAATCCCCTGAGCGGATCGGCATGTTGTGTTAATGAATTCAAGTATCCCAAACAATGTATTCTTTAAAACTGTTGTGCTTTGTTTCTTTCGTGTCTTTTAGAAGTACCACCAGTTCAAACTTGAAAAGTCTCCAATGGGATGCTGACCAAATTTATGACCCAATACATTTTCTTTACTATTTCTTCACATCTCCTCAGCCTCAGCTGTGTTTTGCGTTAAGTGAATACTAGCATGCTAACACACATGTAAGCAAGATGGTAAACAGCTCTTCCCAACAGTAAAGTAAATTTAGTTTGGTGAAACTCTGATTCTCGGGCTCATAAGTTAAAGAAATATTGCCCTAATGTAATTTAACAACCACAAAAATGCACCGGATTGCATTGTAGTTTTGTTAGCAAAAGCAGCCTAGCGTACAGAGCATTAACACCATCGCATTTGTTTCTTCAACACTTTGCGATGTAAAGCATGTAAAAAATGGCAGACAATAAACAGATTGCAGTGTATAGTTAACAAGAAGCTATTTCAGACACATTATTTGCTAAACGTCAGAATTTTAGTATTATTGTCACACGTTAGCATACTGACGTTAGAATCAAAGCACTTCTGTTCCTGGTGTAGCCTTACGCAGCTGCTAGCTTAACTGTATACTCCAAGCCTTGTGAAACAATTACTCCAGCTGTCAAACTTTAAAAAAGTGACAAAAGTTTAAAGCTAGTTTTAAAGAACTGCATGTCACGAATATTTTTTATCAAGTCACGCTAGTAACAGTTTTCACAAAACCTTCTAACATGAAGGCTACAGCTACAGTTACACATTTGTAGCTTTTGTAGCAGTGTGACACCACACTGATTTCACAACTTAATTTTAGTTTTCGCTGCATCTTGTTTGGATAATCAAGTATTGGAGCACTTCGTTAGTGTTGTATCATCTCATGGGAATGCTAACCAAAGCCTCCAGCTACAGCTCCTTCTCACTTTTCCCCAGTTCTCTTTTTCTCCATCAGAATTTCTGGCGGAGGACCATTTGTCCTACTTCCTTCGTGCCAGAGTTTTATGTAATGGTTCGTCATTGTTTAAGGCCCTTTGGTGTATTTGTTCAGCTTTCCAACTCTGCATCTCTCTCAGGATCTATTACTCATTCAGTTTGTCCTCATGCTAAACTGCTTGTTTGTCTTTAAATCGTGCCAGTTTTTGTGCTAAACATTCTTCACTCTGACTTTGGCTTTGACTTGTTTTGAACTTATTACTGAAATCATCGATAATGTTAAATTAAATGACACCCGTCCTCACCTGCTATGTCGTGGTCACGGAATTGAATCTTGGCATGTGGTGCTAACATACTGCAAGTAACAGTCACTGCATAAACCCATTTTAGGAGACTTTTTATTAAAGGATTTCTTGCTACAGCAAGGGTGTTATATATTCATCTGCAATGTAATACATTTCTATTGAACCTCATTTCAATTTTGACAAATTGGAAAAGTTTTTTAGCAGACTCTTTTATAGAAATGCCTGCACTTTGTCATTCTATCATCTATTCACTTTTCGCTATTTGCAGTTTTGTCTATATAGTAGAATATCTGTATTTGTTAACCATTTCACCCATTTACCAGCAGCCTATTGAATAAAATGCTCAAGTACTGTCTTGAAATGTCAGTATTAAAGCTGAATCACCAGTAATAAAAAAACAGTTTAGTAGCTTTGCAGTCCATATAATTCATTGTAGGCTGTTTTTGACATTTAAATTTCACCACTGTAAGTAGACATAAAACATACAATACAAGCATTCATTCTCACAGTCAAAGTCCAGCCAGAGAAAGGGTACAGAGGACTGTAATAAGCTTCTTAAAGAGGTCCTCTGTCTTCTCTCTCTCTCTCTCTCTCTCTCTCTCTCTCTCTCTCTCTCTCTCTCTCTCTCTCTCTCTCTCTTAGTCTCTCTCTTCTCTTTCCCATACTTATCTTGTACTATCATTGGAGCCCACCAGACAAAATGTGTGTGAGTAAAAAGAGCATGTCTTTGCACAGAATGTGCTTTCTGACCAAATCACACTCCATCGTCTTGTAAAATGTAACCCCAAAAATGAGTGTAACTGGGCAGCCTGTATGAGCAGCACTCAGGGTTTATTTTCTGGATTATGTGTTGGAATGTTTGTGTAAAGAAGTCATACAGAAAGGAGGTGGGAAAGGGATCCAGCTCGCCAGCCTCTTCTTCTTCTAACTCTATGTGGGCATATGCATGCAGGCAGCAGAGTGTGCTTGTGCGCTTTTGAGAGGGAGATTTTCTGGTGGGAAATGTTTTGTCTTGTAGTCCCGCTCTTTGTGGAGTGAGCCTGTCATTGGCCCCAGTCTGATGAATATTCACAAAGGTGACAGAGAACTTTCACACAAACAAAGTTGAAACCAATTAGTTTCCTGGGTTAGATGGACATGTTCACCCATGCAAAATACCTCCGGTTATGTGTGTAGTGGGTCTGTCTGTTTGCACCGGCAAGACCCTTGAGAAGAGGAGCCACGTCAAAGTGAACCATAGCTAATTGATTTGAATCTTGGCCTCCACAGAGCTGCTAATTACCACTGCACTACATCACAGCATTTAAACTATTATTACAAATGTCTGCACGGGCGCCAAGGTGTGGCCTTTGCTGATGTCTGAATAAACTACAAGGGGACATTGTGGCAATAAGGGCCTGCGTTCACTTTTGCATTTCTCTTCCAGACTGTGTAGAGATACAACAACAAAAGAGCCGGGTGGAAATTCACACCCGTCTGAACAAAAGGCGGTTTGTTTTATGTTCTCCTTGACCTCTGAGGAGTTTTCCCACTGCTCCTCAAATCAGAACCTCTCACCTACTTTCCAAAGGCCTTCCCACTCCTCTAAGACACTCCCTGTTTTCTGTGACATATCCTTTCCCCCTCACTGAAATGTGCTCTTTCTGTCATTTTGAATCTCCATGTTGCTTCAATTTTCTTAAGTCTGAAAAAAGTTTAACAGTTGTTCATCATTCTTTCAATTCAATCATTGGTCACTGGCAAACAGCCCAGATATCAGATTAACTCCAACCATGTGATGACGTACATTTGGTGTTAGTAAAACCTGCTGCCTTTTTTTTAAATGAAATATGTTAAACTATATATGCTGTCTGAACTCTCTCAACCCCTTACACACAACAACCAATCAGAAATGCTGATTTCAGTTCACATGACAATTGGGTGGTGCCTCACAGCAAGAAGGTTCCTGTTTCAAATCCCCATCGTAAAGGGCATGCATGGGATCTCTCTGGGTTCTTCTCACAGTCCAAAGACTTGCTCGTAAGGTTCATTGGTGACTCTACATTGCTCATTGGCTGGTTGTCTATATATGTCAGCCTTGTTATTGATGGGCGACCACTCCAATGTGTACTCACCCAATGACTGCCGGGATCAGCTCCAACCCCCCCCCCCCCACCTTGTTATGTTCGCTAACTCTTCTCATATGCACTGTAATAAAGGTTCTCTACATTATGAGAACAAAATGGGTTGTATTTTTTCTTCGTATCATTTCGTGTCAATCAACTGGTCAAATGAACTGAATCTTGAGGTAAATTAGCAGCGTCTAAACTGAGATTTGTCTGTGTACAGTACCTATGTGTTTATTGTTGGTGATGAAAACCAAGTTCATCTGCACTTCACCTCAGACTCAAACTGTCTTTCATCCAGTCCACTTTAGAGCCAGTTTTTAAAGACTTTTACAATTCAGATAATTTGAATTAAATCATCAGTTCATTTAAAAAAAGTATACATTTTGTTTTCTTTTTCTTTTCAGGGTGGTGCGATCTCCATCCTGACAGCGTGTGAGAGGCCCAGTGACTTTGCCGGAGTCGCTCTGATAGCTCCGATGGTCCAGATGAACCCAGACTCAGCCACACCATTCAAGGTACCACGGCACTGACACTTCTCTCTTTTCTCTCTTCTGCCTTATTAAGTCGCGCTCTTCAGTACTAGAAATTGCTTTACTCCACTCAGCCCTGCTGTGGTTCATGACTACGATACTGACACCTTCTATTGTGTGTGTTCAGAGAATCATTGTGAGTACCACTTGAGCAGCATTAGCTGTCTCTTACTGAATCACAGACACGAGGGTGACCACATTTTCAGGACCAAACGATGACAGAAGTGGTGTCACAATCTGTACGGGAGAAAAGAGACTGTTGTTTCTGCAATTATTAGCACATTTTAACAAGACGAAATGTGTTTTTAAAATCCTGCACTGCTATAAACACACCCACAGGGTGCAAACAGGTGACTTTACAGTACACATGCAAAACTGAAGACTGAAGAGTCTCATTGTAAAACCCAGGCAGATGGCGAGAAAAAAAATAAAGACAGAGAGAGATGGAAACATTCCTCAGGGAGGTGTTGATGTGTGAAAATAAACTGAAACGCTTGCCGTGTTTTGTTTTTCGCTGTTTACAGGTTTTTATGGCGAAGGTTCTTAACCACATGCTGCCCAGCCTCACTCTGGGCTCCATCGATTCCAAATGGGTCTCACGGGACAAGAAGCAGGTAAGAGACAAATGCTGTCTCCGTTTGAAGGCTGCTTTGTATTTTGTGATTGAAAAAGCAGGTCGGGGTGGGAATTTTGGGAGGTCTCAGGGGGGATAGTTGCACCGTTATGCGTACGTGAGTGAAGTCAGGCTACAAAATGTTTTTTAGACAATACATACTTTGAACCCTTTCCAAACAGAGAGGGGTTTTATCATTAAGCCTTTGGTGGGTTTTATTGTTTAATTTGTAATTATGAAAACAGGTGCATGTACTGTGTCACCTTCAGGACAAAGTGATAACAAGGTTGCAACAAACAACATTTTGTAGTTCACTTTATTTTTAGCTTTGTATGTGTGTATTGTGTTTGCTAACTCGTCCGCATTAGTTATATAACCACAAGATGAACTACAGAGGAGACCCCAAAAACACACACAGGCACGTCTGTCCACCTCTATTTGCACGTACCTGGGCCTCTGAAAGTGTGCTGTGGTTTTTTCATGGTTGGGGTCGTGCCTATGCTTATTTCCTATCTGCATGACTCTGCGCTCACAATAGGATCCCACATCCTGCTTCTGCCTCTCACTGTCAGTTTGGGGTAGTGATGTCATATCATGTTGCAGGTACAATTACGATTAAAGGAAATAGTTTTTTGTAATGTGGCCTATTCCTTTGAATATGCTTCGGAGTACAAACACAAACCTCGTTCAATACTGATTCATCTGTGCAGTAGCTGCATTACAATATATTGTTTGAAATCAATACAATAACCGGAGATTTATTTTTCTTCCATACTCATCTGGTGGCTTCTTTGACATACTGTTTACCGTTTATTGACGAGCTTCTGAGTGTTGTGATTTAGGTCAACAGCTCCTAAGATATAATAATGCAAAAGTAAAACGTACAAACCATAGTCTATATATTCATATGGACAATGGACATCCATCCTCTTCTGTTGTACAAATGTGTAGTTAGGCTGGTGACATCATTTTGAGTTGAGACTTGCAGAAAGGATCAGGCTAGTGGAGCCCCGCCTCTTCCATTTTAGCAAAGCACACATAAAACTTACAGATAAAACATCCACAGCAGATCTTCTTGTGTCAGTTTGAAGTAGATACCATCAGTGATTTGAAAGACTTTCGTGTGTGTAACATTTCCTGTCTCTGTTCCTCCTACTACTCTGATAATCAGGTAAAGACGCTGCAGGAAACAAAATTTGTCAACAGAGCTGTCAGTCATGACATTACTTCAGCTCTTTTCTAATAGGGATACTTTTTCTTTTTTTTCTTTTTTCAAATATCTTTATTGATATTAATCAGTGTGCATAATAAGAAGTAACTATGATGTAAGAAACCATGAAAAAAGAAAAATGTATGATGTGTATATTAATTTAAAAGTTGTGGTGCGTTCCTTTTACCTCCGAAGTTCAATGTTTGAGCTGGGAATGACGTCACACAAGAGTTGACTGTGTTCCAGTTACGAGTTGGCAACAAGTCGAACAAGCAACATGGTAGCCTCCAGGAGTACCTCTGTTTTGTTAGCTAATACCATAATACTAATACGTTGACAACACACTGCATGATAGTTTGCTGTTGAAACCAACATAGCAACATGTCCCCTGATAGATCATTTTCCAAATACTATCGGTATGATTGATTTAAGTAGACTAAAACTAGATTAAGTTGCCAATAAACATTACTTTACAGTTTATACTTTACTGTTAATGCACGTAGCAGCCATGTTGGATTTTTCCTCTGAGTTTCCGAGTCGGATTTCTAACTTTAGGGGGCGTTCCTCATAACGTATCAGACTGGCGACCTCGTAATTTCCAACTTCTGAGATCAAATGGAACGCATCATTGGCCCCATTCTCCATCTGATAACATGGAGGAGGCGGAGTTTGTGACCTAAACTGCAGCTCTTAATCTTTTGGCTTCACTTCTATCCCAGTCTTGTGTTGTCCATTTTTCATCAGTCTATAATGCAAACATGAGGATACTGTATGTAGCGTTAACTAAACATGCCACTTGAATGTTTTTTTTTTTTTTTTTACACAAATCATATCTACACAAGTATATATGGCCCAATACAAAACCAAACTCAGTAACATTTTTACAAGGAACAACTCAGCCAAACTCTTATTGTTACAACTGCAGCGTTACCTTTTCACCTCAAGATAAAGCTTGTGTGTTTTGCAATATGTAATACATTCCATTGGCTTTTTATTTTTGTTGCATGATGTGACTCCGAGAAATTCTTGCCTCATTAACTCCTCTGAGCAGCTGAACAGGTCATTTTTTTGTCACAGCTCAGCTTTCAGTCATTTATTATTCAAAGCAGTGGCACATGTGGCCTGAGAGAGGCTGCTTCTGTAAGAGTGGGCCATCAGCTGTGTTTATATGTACGCTTAACAGAAACAGGAGTGTCTGTGACTGATAGGAGAGCAGATAGGAACTTGAAAGTATTCATGTTAAAAGTCACAGACACCGGCTGTGTGATCTGCTGTTCCAACTCTGATTTCAAACCAATTTGAAGTAACAAATGCACTTCATCCTATTGTCTCCTTTTTTGGTTCCTTTCTTTGTTTAGTTTGGATTTGTGTTTTTCCACAATCCATTTATTTTTAATCCTTACTCACGCTTGCCGACTGTTATATTTATTCCCAGGATCCTTTTTTTATTTCCATAACCCTCATCTCCCAGAAGAGCATTTTTCCTCTTGACTTTCTTCCACATTTGGATTTTAACTCAAACATATCGCTGTTGTAAAAAAAAAAGAGAGAGATTCTCAATCCATAAATCTACTTTATGGACTTACATTGCCTCTTTCTCACGTTTGTGATTTTAAAGCTCCTATGAGAAGTGGTTATGAAAGACTGAATTAATCAGTTCAGTTCAGTTCAGTTTAGACCTTTATCGTCCCTGGAGTTTTATTAACAGCAGTGGACAAAAACACAACAAATAAAAAGACATCATCCAAGATAAAGAAAACCCATCTGTTCATTAAAGATTCTCCTGGAATGGTAGCAATATAAATAAATTGCTAAAGTGCTGCTTTAAAGTGCAGTCAAAGTTTAAAGAAGTGCGTTAATTGCTCTAGGAACATACCAAAATTTTACTATGTTGCTTTTAGCCCTGGGCAGCTTGTTCCTCCGGGCAGAGGGGAGGAGAAGAACAAATGATTCCAAGAGAGGACAGCCAGAGCAGAGATTGACTTTTCCCCCCTCACAATTTGTCTGTTCCAGATACCTGAAATGGAAAGCTGCTGTGTGCCAATTATTTTACTGGCTGTTTTAACGATACTGGACAGATGATTTTTGTTGTATATTGGAAGGTTACCATAGAGATAAGACAAAAGGTTTAAATGGACTCAATAAAAGATCGGTAAAATAAAACCATTATGTGATGTCAGACCGAACAGTTCTCTTTTTGAAGAGGAACTATCGAACGGGGAGTTCCCTGACAACTATACACACCATGGGGACTTTTTTCTGTCTGCATTCCATGGTACCTACTTGGAAGCAGAAGGTTAAAAGGGTTCCTCTAAATGTGGTTTTAGGAACTAAAATAGTTCATAGTTCTTGCGGTGGGGAATCAAAGAGGGAGGGTTCAAACAGTCCCTAGAACTATGAAAAAGTTCCTGCGGTCTGAAAACTCCTATTGGTGATTTTTTTTATGGCTTACTAAACTAAAGCAAATAATACCATCAGCATTCATATGTATTTTGACATTTTCAACAGAAATATTGTTGATGTGGGATACATATCAAAAACGAGGATGAGAAAAAAAGTCATTTAGAGTTTATAAACTGAAACTAACTGAAAGAACAGCAGAGAAAGTCTGAGAGCTACATTTTTATCAGCCCTGCAGTTAGAAACTTTGTCCCATAACTCCCTTCTTCAATCCAGGTTGAGGCGTATGACTCTGATGACCTGAACTACCACGGCGGCATGCGGGTGTCGTTCGCCGTGCAGCTGATGGGTGCGGCGGCGCGCATTGAGAGGGAGATCCCATCAATCACCTGGCCCTTCCTGCTCCTGCAGGGCGACGCTGACAAACTGTGTGACATCAGAGGCTCCAGGATGATGTACGAAAACGCACCAAGCTCAGACAAGAAATTGAAGGTGGGATTGGTTGGTTATCAGTCCTTTTCTATTTCAACATTTTTCTTAATCTTTTGTTCCATTATTGTTGACAGCTGGACTCCATGGTGAAATAACCTTTCAAAAATTATAACATCACATGGATACAAGTTTGAACAGTTCTCTTAAAAAAAAACCTCCATACAATAGTAAAAACCTGAGGGAATAATTCCAGTTGTGACAACAGGGTTCATCAAATACATTTATTCAAGGGCCAACTGTTTTTTGACAGACACTGAGGGGGCCGGACTTTAAAATATGCTTGCACATTAGCTGTCAACTCAGACGTAAAGAAGTTGATGTCAGAGGGAAAATGTAATTTCTCACATAAACCTAATACCAGTATTTCATCCTTATGATCATTTCTATTCTGGAGGCCGGATGGGAAGCTTTAGTAGGCTGGATGTGGCCCGCAGGCTGCCAGTTCATGATCACAGCTCTAGAAACTCTAGCCTAAATCAGCAGAGGCGCTGCTTATCAACAGGCCAGGCAGGCAACTGCTTGGGGCCCCAGACCAGTAGGGGGCCCAAAGCAGCAGCCTAAAATGTGAAAATTGCAATTATGGTAGGAAACCTCCCTAAGGGGGCCCCATCTTATAGCACTCATTCTTGTTGCCCTGCTGAATGTTGGTTGGAGGGCCCCTTAATTGATTTTTGCCTCGGGCCCCAACAGGCTCTGGGATCACCACAGTCAAGCAGAGTAAAAATGTTAACAACTGCTGCCTTTGAGACATGAAAACACAATTTAGTAGATTAACGATATATGCAAAAGGTCAGTGCCAAACGGAAGCTGCAGATGGATATGTGGCGTAGTTTGAAAATCATTAAGTGGTGCATTTGTTGAATGAAAATCATTCACTGACATGCTGGAGGCTGCTAAATTCTTCCTCCTCTGTTTCTGTTAAGAAGGAAGTTCACGCACTCTTTTCTCACATGGTTGATCACATGAGAGAAGTACAAACAAGAGAAAAAAGCCCCTGCTCACATTTTATTTGTGTTTTATTTATTGCACCAATACAAGACATGTTCAGAATCAGGTGGGGCTCATGAGGGGTGAGACTCCTCCATCATCACATGTATTTTGGGGATGTAATGTTCCAGTTATCGTGATGGGTCTCAAAAATAGGACAAATTGTCCTCACAGGAAATCAGCTGAATGCAGAAAAACATCTGTTTCCTGAACACAAATACTATTTCCTGTTGGGTTTAGCCAGTGACTGAATGAAATGTGTCCCATCTCTCTGACACTCTCTCTCTCTCTCTCTCTCTTCTGGTCAGGTCTACGAGGGAGGCTATCACGCGCTTCACCACGACCTCCCGGAGGTGGCCGAGTCTGTGTTGAAGGAGGTGACCAGCTGGATTACAGAGCACCTTCCCGCCAGTACACAACAACCACAAGGCTCATAGAAGGAAGCCTGCTCACATTCCAGTTGTCTTTCAGGCGTAACAATACTACTACACTCTCTGTTTTTGGAAATACGTTGGGGCCTATAGACTGAAGTTATTTTCTTTTTTTATAAAAAAAAAAGTTACTGACTTTATCCATATACTGTCGAAAAAAAAGACATTTATCTCTCTCCTCTTTTTGTACCTGTCAATCAGCTTAAGTTACACAGATTTTAAAGGATGTTGATAGCCAGCAGCACTTATGATCAGGGATTCGCCTCATGTATTCCAGGCGCTTTTTCGCTTTTTTGCTTTCCATTTACTATTCAAACTCGGCTTGTTTTAGACCTCTCCTGACATAGGAGGTCTACCAAGTCAAGTCTAAGGTAGAAAAGCTACAGCTAAAGTGCAATAGTATCTCCACTTCCAACATCTTTTGAGTAGAAAATGACAAAACAAATGTAATAAGTTATTTGTATGCGCAGCAGCATTTCCTTCTTTCTTATACACTGTTTAATGAAAAGGTCAGAGGTCAGGAACAGCAGCAGGACAGCACGTCTGGGCCTGGTTAAGCTTCAGTCCAAGGGGAATATTTAATTGAAAAGCTGAACCTGCTTCACTGTCTTCACAGCATCAGAAGATTACATATAATATAAGAGTACAGATCTCAGTGAAGACAAGAGTTCTCACTGATTCATGTTTTCATTCCTGCAGATATAGTGGTTCAGGAGAAATTATCAACTCTGTCTTTAAGCCTATTTATTTTTTCACCTTAAAAGTTATCCGTATCTCTGTTTTCTCATTATAGCCACAATATCCTTCTATACTGATTATTTAACGTGTCTCTGTGAGCCTATTGAAGGGTATCTGTTAAATGAAGAGGGAGCAGATTATCTCCATAAAGCTGCATTCTCGCTCTCTGCAGACGAGAATAAGAGGGCAAAATGTCTTCACTCTGTGTGATCTTTGTTCTCTCAGTTCCCTGTCAGAATCATTCCCTGCATCTCTAACTTTAATAAGTCCATGATGCGGTCAGGGACCCAGCTGGAGAATGATAAGCGTCTCTTTGCTCTGTTGCTATAAACAGAAGAGTGCATCACCTCTGTTCAACTCACCGTTGAGTAATGGAGATGCGTACATTACTAACACTGGTGGTCACTGAGGGAATATAACTCCTTGTTGTTTTACTCTACAGTACATTAAACAATTGACCTCTAAACCACCATGTAGAACTCCATCTAGACACCACATCAAACCTTTATAGTCGACATTTTCAAGTTCAAAATCATCTATTTTAAAGCCTAAATGTTGATTCAACAGGTTAAATCTTAAATTGAAGCATTTTAAGCCTCAAACTATTGAAATTAGTTAAATTTTACTCAAATTATTGGTGAATATTGTGGGAATTTGAACCCATTACCTCAGCATTTTTTTCAAAATTTTATATTTAAAGCCCTGGCCGCAAGTGACTGCTCAAAATCAGATTAGAGTTGTTCAGCGTGAGCTTCTTAATCACAAACCTAAATGGCTAAAGCTCTGGTCGTGATCACAATTTTTTAATTTTTTCGTTTCCACATTGAAGTTCTCAGAAGCAGTGATCTGAAAGGCTTCAAAGAAACCATAGCAATAATGTCACAGTAACCTATATTTTTAATGGTTCTTAATTATTCAGTATATAGCTAAATGGGCACATACTGAGCCAAGTGCTTTAAATTGTCAGGGACACTTTCGTTAGCACTATGCTAAACTTTTTCCACCTATTCATAAGCTAATGTATTAGAAAGTTAAATTAGCACAAGTCTAGAATGATTATGTTGTAATGTCACAGCCTCCCCTGTATCACACACAAAAAGAGATCAAACATATTGATGCTGCTGGCAGTTCAGACAAACAGTAAGAGTCTTTGTTTGTTGACCTCAGACTTACTGAACATCCAAAGAAAACACATCTATTTAAAATGCAGTTCTTGGAAGGAGACTTGACCGTGTCGCCTTGCTTTCAAACTTTTTTTTTCTTTATCATCCATGAGTTCAAAGGGACTCATGCAGCGAGAGGAGGGAACACATGGAGTGGTATCCACGGTGACCGCTACTCGTGTGTAACCACGGCAGCAGGCTGGCAGCAAGGTAGAATGCGTCTTTTTTACATGTGCAGTCACTGGGGTGATCACAACAAGACTGACAGAATGAGATGAATTTCTGGCTTGCTGCCTGCTCTGAATGTATACTTCCTCACTCTTGTCTCTCCATATCTCACCCTGTGCCACCCTGTTTCACCCATGTTTTGTTTTTTTAAGTTGCTGTCATGACCAGCGCTTTGTTCAGTAAATCACAGAGTCCCTTGTTTTGTAACAGATTCAAATATCTTTAACTGCCATTGACTCTGTACCTAGTCGTCAATTTGCAAAACAAAAATTACATTCTTTAAGCTTTTCTTTTTTCCTTTGGCCATTAAAGGTCCAATATGTAAAATACCTACAGAAATAATCAAAATGACCTTACTATATGATCAGACATTAAGGTCACATGCTATGTTGAAGTGCTGGCTTCTCTGTCAACAATGCAGCAGCCAGTATGTCCTCCTTCTAAGTTTTGATTCTTTTTGTTTTGAACAGATAAGTAGGCGGCAGTACCCATTTTAAACGCTAGGTGTCAGAGTTACATATTGCTCCTTTAAACTGACAATCATTCAACTAGGAACTATAGGCTGCAATATTTTACCCATTAAAAAGCTTCAGGAAAACAAAAGTTTGTACCTCGGTTAGACTTAAATCTGCTATCTGTTACGGCCCTCTTTCTGTGGAGATGCAAATGGATATTTTGATTTCATTGTCTGATGCTGGCATACGCTCACGACTTGGAATTAAGTAAAACCCCTTAATTAGAAAATGAGAGATTGAAAAAGGCATACAAATTAAAGCAAGAGTGATTTTTATATTAAAGTTTCATATTGGAAACAACAACAAGAATAGATAAAATTGTTCTAGTAAAAAATAAATCATAAGGGGCGTTCAAAGGAAAAGTTTTAGAAATCAGGAGCAAGTGCATCCTTTTCTCCGTCTCCTCAGATATCAGAAGACATGATGTAGGTCAGCCTCTAAATATCAGGTCACATTGCAGTTGGTGCAGAACTTGATTGAGAAGTGAAGTGTTTGTCAGTTCCTGTGGGAGTCAGACCCTCAACCTCCACCAGAGCTGCAGGGGTTTATATCACGAGCACTTCAAACACAATGGCCTCCTGATTGGGCTGCACCAGTCACAGCACACACAAGGGCTTAACATTCCCAATTGTATTCAAACCCGTTAACAGCACCCCTGCTGCACATTGAAATCAGCCTCACATGCAGGATCCTATGTAGCTGTGACTTCCAGAAGTTCTACCTGTCAGACCACAAGAGTGCTTATTACTGCAGTCATTAGCTCTGAGGGTGAGAGAGAGAGAGATGAGGATGGAGTGAGAGGAGAAGGGAGAGAAATAGACAGGAGAGAAGCTGTCAGTAACCATGGCAGCACATGTTTTCTTTTTTTCTCCAGAAATGTCAGCCTCTGAAAAAATTAGTATTTATTCATGGTTCAGCATGTGCAGCAGACGTTGCTGCGCTTTCAGAGCTGGTTGTCCATTTTGCTGCTCTTAGAATTCCCTTTTGTGTGAGCGTCGAGATAAGAGAGCAAACAATTAGCCTCATCAGTTCACAGTGAATAATAAGAGCTGAATACACTCACTGCATTCAAATTAGGCTGCTCTGCTGCTGCTTGCACTGAAAACACAACATGGATATTTTAGCACAGTGATTTTTCTGGAGTTTTAAAGACCCCAAAATTGTTCCTTTTTTTCTGGTAAATGTGTGTATATTTGCTCCCATTTATCTCTTGTCTCTATTCAAAAGCCTCTCTAAGGAGACATTTTTAAGATGTCATTCCTACTCACCTGCATTAAAGGTGTGTAATTCCCAAGACAGTGCTCACAACTTAAAAACGTAAAGCCCTGTAAAGATATCCTCCCCTGTCCATGCCATTACGAAATTTATACAAGCATGACATGAATGCAGTTTTGCCATTTTGAGAGACAGCCATGTCCAGACAAATTGATCTGTTAATATGTAATAATCTACTCGACTGTTAATATCTTCTTGTTTTTTTTTTAAATAAGACAGCAGGTCTTTGTTAAGCTAATGCTAAGTATTGTAGAGGAAATGGTAAACACAGGAACGTGGGCTGCATCACTTAAACAAGGCGAAATTTAACTTGAAGCCTGCAGGTTGGTGAGCGGGGCTGTTCGTCTGTTTGGTTTGTTGTTGTTTTTTAAACTCGACTTTATGACTGTTTCTAAGAAAAGAGCTGTTATATATGATGGAGGACTAAGCACCACAGGCAAGTCTTTTTGTAATTAAAAAGAGATTACTGTGCTGGGAAGATGCAGTGCACAGTGTGCATGAGTGACGTCAAGTGTCAGTGCACAGCAGGAATTGAAAGAGTCTTCTCCAAAAGACTTTTAGTTGAACTGTATCTTTAAGTTCTTCGTCATGTCTGTAGAATACAGTGGATTGAAGTTGTCATGCCACCACAGATGCTATTTTCAGATGTTTTACAATGCATTTTTTTGGAGCAAAACCTTATTCAAATCTTGCTGTTGTGAAGAATGTCTGATTTGATAGAAGCCAGAGGGACTGATGGCTGACAGTAATTGTGAAACACTGTATTATAGCACAGCATTGCTAACAAATCTTGAAGGAAATACGAAAAATCAACACTGCGATGTATATTACAAATGTTTTATTTATCCTGTCTAGATTATTTATAGGGAATACTTTTATGTATAGGCTACTATATATTGATTACACATTGTGAGAAGGCACTTTTTATAACATAAACAAGTCAGAGTTTGTCATTTTTACTGTTGAAGCTCAGCAAAATTAAACTCTGTGATACTTTTTTCAGATGGAAACTGGTTTGAAGTTGCATGTATGTACAGATATTAATCCCCAAAATGTTTGACAATGTTGCTGATATAGATTTGCATGGAGATAATGATGCTACTGTTAAAGTCCACATTGTTTTAAAGAGGAAAACGTAAGTCTTGTTGCAGTTTGTCACAGAACTATGAATGTTTTCAACCATCTGAGATTATAAAGTTTTTGTTTTGTTACTAGATATTACTGCTATACAGATCTTTAACCAACTTGCCTATAAGTATCTTATATTTTAAATAGAACTAAATATTAAAAGTACAATGAGGGACTTAACGTGGCTTTCTCCGTTCATAAAGCCTTCTGTTACGCCTTAAAATCAATCAGTAAACTGCAGGTATCAGGTTTTTCTCCATATTTTTTCAAATTCAAATTTCCAGGAAAAAAAAGAAAAAAAGAAGAGAATATAATTAACCAAGCAGATTTTTATGGGAATATGTAATGTATGTTTATTTTTTAGATTACGGTCTAGTCCTGTTTGTGCCTTATCACTATGGTGAATGTGTTCCTGAGCATGTCTATGTTCATGAGTGTGTTTTTTTAACTTGATGTAGATGAACTGCGTTGAGCAGATCTGTTTTTCTGTTTCCTCTCTGGCCTGTCATCACTTCTGTTTCTGGTTCAGTAAATGTGTCTGCTTGTCTTCCACCTGTCTGTATCTTCCAGTTTATGTCTGTCTCCATTGTTTTGGTCCAATCAGAATTCTTCAGTCACTTTCTAAGTTTTTCAGAATGGGCTGAGACATAACTCCAAAGTACATCCCAAGTTCTCAATTTACAACACCTGTTATATTTAACCCGGCCATGAAGATACAAACAGGATCAACACAGTCTCACTTGAGTGGCCTAATGACTATATATCATTTGGAATTGATCAATTTATTCCAAATGGCTTTGAGTAGAAAACATGAAGATATGTTTGTCACATAAATTGTAATAAAGTAATTTTCTTCTTCCTCATCAGCTCTGTATGGAATGATTACATGATTGGTTATTGTCCTTAATTGTACATGTTAAGATACTGGTAATCTTTTATAAAAGATGATGCACAAGCTTTAAATAAAGATAAACTACTAGATTAAATCAATCACTCGAAAGACTCAAGGCTGCATCTATTTTTTAAGGTTGGAATTATCATGTAGATTAAGCCAAAACAAAAACTCAATAATAACACACTTTACACAGCTTGTTTCTTGGGTTGAGCTGTTGATTAATTACATTATTGGGACGCCAGATAGCCTTTTGGTTTTGATGCACGCCCAATGTTCAGAGTCCTCCATAGTCTATCATCCTCGTCACAGCAGCCTTAGGTTTGATTCCAACTCTGCCCTTTGGTAAAAAAAAAAGAAAACTCTGCCCTTTGCTGCATGTCATCGCCCCAACTCTCTCCTATCAACATTTCCTGTCTCTCTTTGGCTGTCCTATCCAATAAAGACAAAAATGGCCCCAAAAGATAATTTCAAGATGATTACTATTGTTGAGTTAGTCTGCACTTCTGTTGAGTGGCATTTAATTAATTCATATCAATTCAATATTCAGACATTAAGAATGTCAATTTAGGAGTTTGATGGAGAAAGGACAGCTACATTTTTTCATTGCATTATGGTGAAACTGTATGAATCAAACCCTATAACATGATCACACATCACGCAAAAAGAAGTTAATTGAAGTTCATAGCAGCACAGAACCTCATCTTCCCCACATTCTTAAGTCTTCCTTGTTCTTGCTTCTTTTGTCAGTTTTCTAATGACCAAATTACACTTGATTTTAATGACCCAGTGCCGATACTGAGTTATCATGTCACAAAAAGGAAAATGTTCAACAATATGTCACTCTAAAGACATCATACTGCAAACTTAAGCTAGAATATTTAGGATTGTCAGAATCCTATACTCTTCGCTAATGCATCAGCCATGTCCTGTGTTTAGTATCAACATTACACAGTTTAATTCAAGTGTATTGAAGTATTGTATATAAGATGTATAAACAACGTCATTATGGATTTACTTTTGAGTCACTGAAAGTCATTCAACTTGTCCATAATGTTCATACTCTCTAAAAGAATAAACAACTGTTTAGCCGTACAGCCTTACTGGAATACTTTCACAGATTGTTAACATTGATAAAATGTGCTCTTTTTAACACATGGTCTGTTATAGAGTTTTCAGGAAGGGAAATCCAAGCAAATTTGTCAAAATTAATTTGTGATATTGGAGATAACTACGATTATGGCATACTTTCTTGGAGTATTGTTGCAAATCAGCTTCCCAAAGATTCACCTCCAATGGTGGGTAAAATACAGTTTGAATAGATAACTCACAAATCTGGGTAGGATTTATTTTATTTTTATTTTTATTCATTTAATTATAGGATTTAATTTGTAAACTAACATAACCCAGATAGTTTGACCTGTTCTGGCAGTTGAGTGGGTTTGTAAGGAATTAAAAATCACAACTCAGCCAGTAGGTGGCGGCAGTGCATCACAAAAGTCATTTAGTAGCCTAGGTCGTATGAGTTTAGTTCAAGAGCTGTTTTTTCTAGATCAGTGTAACACATCCAAAGCATGAATGAAGCAGGGATTGGTTAAAGAGCCATTATTGAAAATGTTTATTTAGTATATTTCAAGTAAATAAACTTTGGGCCAAATAATTGTTTTAAAGCACTCATTTTGATAACATGCCTTCTTGCATCAATCAGCTGATTACTGATCCTTTACTGATCATGTTACTTAGTCTGAACAGTGAAAAACTTGGAGTAGGAATCGTAAGGAATTAGACTTGAAATTCGTTTTTGAGGTATAAACGCTATATTGAAGTGGCTACAGAAATGAGAAGTGCACATATCATCCAAACATGAATGATTTTTTTCACTCTTTTGTACACTATGCTCTCAGCACCTCACCTCCCCTCTCTCTCTCTATCTCTCTCTCTCTCTCTTTCTCTCTTCCAAAATGTAGGCTAGCAGGTCTACTTGAGACATTTTTGGATTTTGCTCATACCGCATTAGCAGCAGCTCCCACAGGACAGTCCTTCTAGGAAATCCAAGACCAGAGACCTAAATATAAATGTGAATATTCATCTGTCACTTTCAAAAGAGATTGTGCTGCCTACATATATTCCACTAAGTCCAAAGAGAAATCTTCCCACAGAAAAAATGCACGCTCCCATGGATGACAAACATGAGTGTTAACGTCACACAAAGTATTTACAGCAGTGTGGTGATTAATCAGGACATGGGAGAACAGTGAGGTTACCAAGCTAATTGTTTTCAGCAGTGTAATCAACCTCCATCATCGACTGCACCCTGTGACACTTCAACATGCCACACTGATGATGTGGTTCATTTTAAGTGTGGCCTATTTGACTTTAATGAGAACAAATTTGTTTTGGTTTTTACCTCATTGTAAAAATCATTGAACATGTTTTTTTCTACGATAAATGAGTTGTTTCTCAAGTTTGTTTTCCCAGTAGAGGGAGCCTGGAGGTCTGTTTTAACCCTCTGAGTTTGTTAGAGACAAAGTCCTGAGCCAATCAGAAACCAGTATGAGGAATTAAATCCAGGCTCGTTGTGGCCATGGCAACGGCTTTACCTCTGTGACAGCTGAGGAATTGGAAAGGAAGAGAGGAGATGCTGCATGGACTGTGATGGGGCTGAGGAAAGCAGAAAAGGGAACCTATGCAACACCAGGGCCCCCTCTAGTTAGGCTCTATGGGTTCCTCAGATTAAAGTGTAAAAAGTTAAGCATTTTGCTTTTAGATGCGTGTCCTATGTTACTGTTTTCTTTTCACAGATCACGAGTAGCCTACATTTTGTAAGAGATATTCTAATAGTGCAATTTTAACCAAGAATTGCAAGAACTCGGAATACATTTGAGAAAATAGTCTACATTTAAATGGCAAAAATCTCTCGTCCTTTACACAGGCTACTCATGTAGGCCTACCTATACTTGCTGGAATGTATGCATTCCTGTATTTCCCATATGATTTTATTCTTGTAGAGATCTTTACCAAAGGTTATTGAATTGAATTTATTTATTTAATAGGGACAATGCAATTTAACATAATTTCAATACAAAGCATGAAACTGATGTGCTGCATAAAGAGTATATAGCTATTGCTAATTTCCAACTCGTGTCCCCAGTTGGGCCTTTTTGTAAACAAACAGATTAAAATGTACAACATTCAGTCACATAAAACCCCATAACACGATATGAGGATACATTAAAATACATGTACAACAATACAAATGCTGTAAACCAGTTTAAAATAAAGTTTGAAGATACTATTTAAAAGTGGGTACAGCTCTGGCTTGCTTTGAGCCAGCATTTCACCTGTTTTGTAAAAGATTTTAAGTCCGAGATTAATTTTATTTCAGGTGGGTAATGTGTTACATTTGAAGGTGTGGCCCGAAGCTGGAGTACAAATATCGATATGCAGGTGTTACCCCTCTTATAAATAGGCTACATCTATCCAATTGGTTGAAGTATCAAAGTATTTTATACTGAATGGTCACTTTTTCTGTCAATCAATGTCAAACGCTTTGGCCACGCCCCCCTCACGCTTCCCAAAGACAGCAGTTCATTCGTGCTTGTAGAACTGTTGAGTGCCGGGAGGAAGGAGAGGAAACGAACCCTGTTAATTGTAGGATTCTCCCGTTGTAATTACCCGGTGTATCGGTGGAATAACGACCAGAAGAGGGGTTTTCGTCGGCTTGTACTTAACGGCGGTGTTGCGCAACACGGTTAACGTCGAGCTTTATCCCCGGGTTTACAGAAGCTGACTTGACTTGAGTCTGTCGGAGAGTGGAGTCGCTCGGCAGTAAGTCCGCCAGTTAGCCTGCCAGCTAGCCACCCCTCACTCCTGCTTACAACAAGTCCCACCCTCTCCCCAAGTACGTGGACGTCGTAAGAAGCTGCAGCGGTGAAGTCGAGTGCTTTTCCCCCTCTCTCAACTTAGACAGCATCGCTGCACAGCTGGAAGAAAACTAGGTGTCTTCTCTGGAGGGAAACAGTCGCTACACTGGCAAAGAGAGTGGCTAAAAAGAAGAGGCGAAATAAGACAGAACAAGGAAGACACCGTGAAGGAGGGGACTGGCTAGTTTAGCCGGGGAGGCAGAATCTCACGTAAGTTACACACACAGCTAGCTTACCGAAAGAGCTTACCGGCCCTGTGCAACTTGCTGTGCTTGCATAGCAACGTTTATCCAACCGGACACTTATTATCTGCGGCTTAGCTCCTACCTCCAGTGCGCCATACTACAGCATGAGCTAACAGTGAAGGCTTCCTTGAAGGTGGTACACTAGCTAGCACGTTGGCTAATGCTACACTTGATTCGAGGCTTGTATATGTTTGCTGCAGTTATCAGTTTTGTTTGATATGTTAGTTTTCATGTGGTCAACTTGTTTATCCGTAGAACAAAACTGTGCAATAAACCTGTTGTCAAGATTATTAGCTCATTAGCTTCATTGCTAGCTAGTTTCAGCCGGCCACCAGCCCAAGTTGACAGTTCAGGTTCTGACGAAGTCAAGTGGTAATGTTACTGAAACCAGGCCAATATCAGTGGTTACTGTTTCCACATAGCAAATGTTTGGGCTCATATCTGTTTAGTGCAGCTGTGAGGACTGTGTGCTCCTTGGCTCAACTCTAGATAGGGTGGCCGCTCACTGACAATGTCACAGCATTACACCACCTTGCTTATAAATGACAGTGAAGTAGCAGTTCCAGGTACAGTACACTGTCCATGCTGTTTCATACACAGTCACTTGATATTCACAGGCATTACAAAGTGAGTGTACAGGCACAGCAGAAGTTAAGCAAAGCTATTAAAATCAACAGTTAGAAATCCTTAACCACATTTCACCCCAGTACTAAAACAGATTCTGACTCATTTTCTCTCCTTCTGTAGATAGATAGCTAACACCGCCACTGAGCCACGCACAACCATGAGTATTGAGATACCAGTGGGGTTGACAGAACTGCTGCAGGGTTACACCGTTGAGGTGCTTCGACAACGGCCGTCTGACCTGGTGGATTTTGCAGTACAGTACTTCACCCGTTTGCGAGACACCAGAAGTCAGGATGGAGCTGGCGCTGGTGGCAAAACGGGAAAAGGAGTGATGTTTGATGGAGAGCCAATGCAAACAGAGTCCAATGGTGATGATGATGATGATGATGATGATTCTGATTTTGAGCGTAAGTTGAAGTTTTTTTTTTTATGATTCTAAGCTGATGTGTTAAATGTGTGTGGTATGAAAGAGATGGGACAAAATGAAAAAGTGTTTATGTGATCATATGAGGAGTTTGGGGAGTGAAAGAGAAAGTAAAGGTGATTATTTAAGCTTGGTCACTGTAAATCAAGCACACCTTTTCCCTAGAGGCAGATTTTCCATTTCCAAGACAGTTCAGCTTGGAAGCCCTTATCTTCCACTCATATCATCCAGGTCTTCTCCATTGTAATTATTGATATGACTGTCAGGATCTAAAATGGAGATCTAAAAGATCTTTTTCTATGTCGGGTGTCAAGGCTTTTAAAAAGGTCTCGTGTTGATAAAATAGCTTAACGGTCTCGTAGTTTCTGCAACTGAAAGTATTTCCTTTTGCTCTTGAAACTTCTGAGCATTGACCACACAAGCATTAGAAAACATTCTTGCAAGTATTGAAAAACACCATGAAGCAAACAAAGGATACAATGTGAGTTATAGTTACAAAATATAGAAAACAAAAATAAACATCTTTCCAGGTAGGGAAGAAAATGTCACAACCCAAAATGATTCTACAGTGTACATGGACCAACACCCCTTTTCCATACTTCAACATTTTAACATGATACAATTGTAGAAGAGTATGTACTCTGAATTTAAATTAATCCTCCCATAAAGTTGATGTATGCCCACCTGTTCAATCCTGACAGTCAAGTAATGTTGGAATGAAAGACTTATTTGATAAAATGAATATGTCTGTCCTTAGCAACAGTGTAGAGCAAGATTCAAATGGAAGAGTTCGTGAACTGTATAACTGTAACTTTCTTGATCCTACACAGTATGTTACCTTCAGATAAAGCGATGCCTCTTTCGCATCACTCCCCTGTGTTTTGACAGACTGGCAGAAGATGTAAGCTGCTCCACAGCTCAGCTCTCTCTCCTGTGCTGCTGAGAGCAGCATGGCCTAGATCACATCAGTGTGCTGTGATGCCAGGGGCTGTTACCTTGTGAATGGGGAATCTGTGTTTTCTCAATGAGAATATCTGCTGTGTTGATTGTTGTATCTATGATAGGTGTCTCTTTAAAGATTTACTTTTTAAGTTACAAGTTTTAAGTCGAATATAGAATATCTAATGCTTGTTATGTGGAATAAGAAATGATAATAATAATGATAAAAGCTTCTTAAGTATTATTATGTCTTGCACAGTTTTTCTCCTGAAAGTGTCATTGGCAGATTCTCAAGCATTGTAGGGTGTCACTTTTAGTTGCTGGGTAAAAAAGTAAACAGCCTGCTTTCTTCAACTTGAGTGTTTTTTATGGCTTTAGTTGTATTTTAACACTGTTTCATGTATGGGCTAACTACATAATGTCCCACATGCAATTGTTCATCTCTACTGAAAACAATATTGGCCAACCTCATTGAAGGGTACAAGCTAGCTCAGGGTAAAAGGGGGATTACACACGAGTGGGGTTTGGGTGCTGTCACACAGCTGTGACCTCAGCTGTTGGAGCCCTGTGTATGTGCATGCACATGTTGTGTCTGTGAGTGCTTTTGTAGGCAAACAGATGTGTTACAACTTGATAAAACGCCCGTTCAAATTCCGGCCTGGTGACAGCATTAAGCAGTTTTCCCAGTGCATTTTGTTTAGCAATATGTTTAGCATTTTCCACACTTCATCCAAGGTTGCAATAAAGGACAGGGAGCTGATCATGCTGCCCTCCAGGGAAAAGCTTTTGCCTTGATGCTCGAGGTCACACACATGACATCCCCGACAGTAGGTTATCCAGCCAGGCTCGTTTACGCTGCCCTCAGGGGTATTCATTCCTGATGGGAACAACACAGGCCTTTATCATGACCGACATCATGTGCTCCTGCCTGACCACTGCTGTAGCCTGTTAGTATAAATAGTACCAAAGAGCCACTAGTTAAACATCAAGTGCTCCAAAACAATTTGGTCTTATGAGTAAAACAACAAAATACTTTTAAGTCTTGATGGCAAAACAGGGACATTTTCACTTGAGTATATCTCTGTTTGGAACTAAAGGAAAGGATATCCGACACTTAGTTTTATGCTCAGTATTTGAAGACACTGGTCATGTAATCACAAATTCCTTGGTTTTGGACCAGTTGGGGCCCTGTGCTCGATGTTTTTACAGTTTTTCTTGTCTCAGCTAACCATGTATGGTCTCTGTGATAATATGTATTTGATCTAATAATGACAAACTCTTTTTGAGGTTCAACTCTGTGACTGAAGAAACACATTTTCTCACCTTGAGCACAGCTCATTAAAACATAATGCTGTTTTGTCAGGCGGTGACCCTCTAAAATTAGGACAACTCATTTTGAGTATGACCTCCTGATTAAGAAACATGACCACCAATAAATATTGAATTGAGCAGAGATGCCTTACAGCTCTCTGTATGAAGCTATTGGGCCTCTGAATAAGACCAGATTGTTTAAAAAAAAGTTTCAAGGTGAAGTGCTTCTCGTGTAACGTGATCATGTTCTGCATCTGGTGGACTTGTTGTATGTAAAACAATTCATCAACACCCTTCCTATTGTCTGTTATTAGGCTACTTACACTTATGATGATTCACCAGTGTGCTCTTAACCTTTCATTTGCGCTGCAGGAAACTGTTGTGTATGAGTGTTCCTACCAAACGCCTAAAATGTAAATGAGATAGATGGCTGCTAATGTATTCCCATGGATAGCACAGTATCCTCCTAAAACATGACGTCCATTTGTACATGCTTTGTTTTTCTAACTGTTGCTGCTTAAATCCACAGCATGATCACCACTCAGCAGGCCTTAGCTGCTTAACAAAAGAGGATATTGTTTTGAATACAAACTGTTGTACCTCCATCATATCTTGTGATGTTGAGGAAATTATTTCGAAGTAACCCTTTCTGGGTTCACTTCAGATTGAGTTATCAAGACCAGTTTGCCTTAAGCATAAAGTTTGGACTAAGCAATATCAAGAAATGTATGAATATACTCAGTCAGCCTAAACCTGAGCTCTCATTTTCTGTCTTTAAAATAGAATTACCTGGCAAATCCCAATGAAATGTATGTACTACTCTCATATTTCTTGGTGTCAAAGGGAAAAGATGTATGAAGGAAAATACAGGCTTTACAAGCTGCAATACAAATATGTGTCCGACTTTGTGCATGTTCTTTTCCCCTTGAGCTGGTCGGTTTAGTGTCAGTCTGACAGTGTGTGTTCATCGAGAGAAGCAAGAGTGGAGGAGTGAATGGATGCCTCTGACTGAAATGTGCGGGGCTTCTTATTCTAAGATTGATGATGGGACAGATGAGTCCCCGGGATGATAATAGAAAAAAAGATTAAACATGTTTTTATAACAAAGACAGCCCGGATAAAGCAGAAGATGTATGAAAAATCGCTTGAGGCTGGACAGCAGCTGAGTCTATTTAGAAAAAAAATCGGAATATTCTTACTCTGAAAAGAGCATTACAAAGAATTGAAGCTAGATAGATGACGAGTCACCTGGACATATAACAGTCTTCAAGCACAGCTTTTATTCATCCCAGACAGTGCAGATGAATAGGAAATCTTGGTTAACTTCATTTATCAAGTAACTTTTAAAGACTGACCTCCAAAATGCTGTAATCTGTTTTGGGGAATTTTTTTAAAATTCTTCCTGAAAAGCATAAGTCAGTATTTTCAAAATCCTGCCTAGGTGTGTTGTGTTGATTATTTATACAATGGTATTTTGAAAGCAGTCTTGAAAACATAAACAGAAGCCAGTTTGGTGTTTTCCTTTCATCATGCCAGCCCACTTGCACTAGTATATTCAAATGTACCCAGTTTAAGTTAAATTGAAGGTCTTCTTTTGGAGAAAAGTCCTCTGGGCAGTCATGACAACAAGCCTTTTGCTTTTTGAATACATCCAAAGTAGGGGTCTGCGATTGATTGCAATATCCTTATATAGCATTCGCAAAAAACACACAGAAATCTGAATTTTTTTAATTGCGATAAATTCGATTTTGTAAACAAGCAATGCTTTCTCAGTCAACATGCATACATTTTAAATATTGGATTGAACACTGGGTATATTGGCCATGCATTCACACCATTTTTGATGCAGTCAGATGAAGCTCAAGTGACCTATCACTGGTTGGATTTAATTAAGATTAATTGGTGCCAATTAAGTGGTGTAGTGGTGAAAATAATGCTTTGTTTTAATTTTGGATTCAGGAGAAAAATATTGCAAAGGTATTGTGTAAAAGAAAACGGGGAATATACATTAAATCAGAGTTATTGCTTATATGAACTCTTTGATATTTATTATATATTATTGCAATATCAATGTCATCACACATTGCATATTTTTCTCATACCATGCAGGCCTAATCCAAAGCCTATTTTAGTTTAATAAAATGATGGCCATGACACAAGGACAGCTGCACAGGCAGGCTGCCTTGAAGTACTAGAGAAGATTTGAAAGTTCTGAAATGTTGCTTACTTGTTTAAAGCCACCATGAAATGGATAATTAACTATTTTCACATGTGTCTTCGATTGATGGTCACTTGCATGCTTATTTCAAAAAATATAAAATAAGTCTTACTGTTGGTATTCCTAATGATTTGGAGTGTATTTTAACGTCGGCTACAATACAAGGCCCTTTTGAATGTAATGTTCCTCCCTCACGACTAAAAATTGAACTAGATACTCTAGCACTAAAACAAAAAGGTACATAGCGCATTAGCATCCATTGGTAATTAACTCTTGATTTTGGCACTAAATGGCCCTATTTATGTTCTTGAATACAGTGAGACGCAGTTTATACATTACATACTTTACATTCTTTGGGTTTGAAGTGGAGCATTCTATTGTAACAATTACAATTAGATAGTTGGCGATTTGAATAATTTTTCAAATACACTTAGGTAGGTTTGACTAGTTATCCCTAAAAGTGTCACCCATATAATTTCCCATATAATAAACATACCAATAATTAATGACAGGAA